AGAAAGGTGTATGAAAACCAAATAAAAATGACAAGGAAAAAGCACATATACAGGGAATCCGGAAGCTCCAAAAAATCACACGGGACAAAAGGATAACTTACAGATGTAATAATCTAATAGCTATCTTTCATATTCTAAATTGATGGTGCATAATAAGGTAAGATCTTGAGAATTTAATCTAGTTAACTTACATGGTCTGCCATCATTGAAAAGAAACCTATTATTTCTACTTGCTGATCAACAGAAAGAAAATGGATTAAATAACTCTTCCATGGCCCGCATGATGCTAATTTTAATATTTTTCTATCCTAAATGCGCAGCCTCACCAATGGAAAGTAAAATATATGCCTTATTTGCATGGAAAACCTCCATTAAAATTAAAGGAGAGGTGGAGGACTGATCATGTTTCATGCCTTGGATGAGCCATTGGATTCTCTTTTAAACAAGATTTAAAGTCAAACAATACGATAAGGAGGAGGAGGCAAAAGCAACAAGAAAGTGTAAAACCAAGAAAAAAGTCTCTGCCCGGTTCAAATAAGATATTGCTTTTGAGGCTGGATACCATAAAGCTTGAAGATCACTTTAATTCTTTGTCTGCAAGGAGTGTTTTCAGCATCCATTCACTGCAAATAAAGTCTCAGCTTTCATATCCATCAATATAATTGCCACTTTAACTAATTCAACCAACACCGGCTAAAATCTTCCTATGTTTTCTTGCATGTGTCCTTTCCATGGACACCACTAACCATCGATGCTATTCAGATATGATCAATTCATAGTGTATATATGACTTTAAGCTAAAAATTTTTATAGCTGTCAGCATTTTTTATAAAACTCCATGTAGCCTGTGTGGTTTGTAAAGTCCAAAATAAGCAGTACCAGATGGTTGCATCTGAACTGGGGAATTAGTATTCAAATGCCAGTGTTGTCAGGAAAAGGATGAAGATAAATGTAAATATGTCATGTGCAGCCGCCAAAAATTTGATGATCAAACCTTAGCTGTGGGTATCAATGTTTCAGGAATCTCTTTCAAGTGAATGCAGCTTTCAGGACATTTAAAGTTTGAGCAGAAAAACCATTCTACTGAAGTTGACTACATTAGTAATAGAGAAGAAATAGATAACTTCCCTCCTCCCACCCCCAACCAATGCATATATACACGCATACGAACTGCTTTGCTCAGAGATATGTCCAAATTGAAAACATAATGACTGAAACAAATAATCTAATCCAAACATATTGATATATATATACATATATATATATCCGACAAAACCAGTCAGTTGAATGGTTTTCATAGGTGATTGGTCTTCACAAAGCAAATTATTTTGCTTTTCTAAATGTGCGTATCTTTTGATCTTCTTGTTCTTCCGAAAACAACAATATTAAGACATTGACAAGATTGATAAAGTCATTACATTTCATTATCTTCACTTTTCTTGGATAAGTGGAGTTGAAAATCAAGGTATATATGCACAAAAACACCATGCTTTGAATGACTTAAATTTTTACAACTTGAAGAAAATAAAATTCATCAGTTTGAAAATTTTGCATCAAGTTGCAAGCCTTAGTGCACTTGTTTTGCATGAAGATACGATGAATCTTTAGTAGTTGATAGTGTAGTTCTTTGGTGCACTTGCTATTCGTATATATGTAAAGAAACCATTTTGACTGATAGGGATGGCAAACAAGTTATTGGTTTCCTATCTCAAGAATCATTTCAAAGTTCCTTTTCTTCTATTAAAAATCTGAGTGTGCTTGCTCCTCTGCTTATCTCTTTTCTGGTATGACACAAGTTTTAGGTATGTAAAGTCTTTTAAAGAGACAAAAATAATAGAATATAATAAATAGATAATACAGTCTATTTCAACATTAAAACTTGAATCACTCACATTTTCATATGTAAAGTCTTTTACATATGTATTTCAGTTCGGAATCAACATAAAACTGTCTTGAAAAGTGGAAAGGCTGAGATATCAAGCTTCTAAAATCAAAGTGAAGAATAAAGTGAATATGGAGTTATGACAGATATTCTTCACATGGTCATTACTACAATATGACACACATAAAGGATAAATATTTCTGATACAATGCCAATGGATTTATATATTCAAGGATGGAAGTGCTAATTGGCGATGAAAGAGAGCAGAAGTGAAGAGCAAAACACTGGAATAAAAAATCTCTCTTAATAGAAGTTGGCAATGGTATCTAATAAGTTGATCAGATGGCAAAGGTACAGCAAGGTTGGAGAAAATATCATAGCTTTAAGTCCTAGATGCTTTCCTAGCATATGACAAATAATATAAAAATCAAATGACTTGTATGCGAATTCGAGATTTATCGTAATTGGTTCATGTAGTCATCTTTAAAAGATAACATTTAGCAAGTTTGGGATTTAAATCTATTTCAGCACCTACAATTTCCTCCCTGTCCCCTGGCCATCCTTTATGAAAAAACCCTAAATCTAGACGTTGAGTATCCATTCCTAACTCACATTCCACCTATATATTTTTTATGCATTAGTAGGCTAACAATGGTCAGTGGTGATGATGGCTAACAGGATTTATGCAACAAGAGTTATCCCTTCCAATCCCTTACACCAATTGCATTTTTAGATTTGAAGACAAAATCCTATCACCAAACCTTTTTATTACTCAAATGTTGTATTTAAAACATTAATAGGAATATTGTTTTTGAATAAGTGTTGTCTAGCTATTATATTAGCAAGATAGATGATAAAAAGAACAGCTATTGGAAGGGAATTTCATGGCCAAGAAAAAGCCATTAGAAAGGGGAATTTGTGACATATTAATGCCACTAATAACTTTAAGGAAAAGAAGTTTTTAATGACGGAAAGATGATGAACTTTTCTTCCACAAAAGTAGAATGTATATCATAATATTCCTCATTTGGTAGAGCTTGATTGAGGCATCCCACCAAATAGTTTTGGGAAAATGGAAGAAAGGAGTGGTGAAGGGATTGGGTCATTGGTGGTGGTGGAGGTGATGGTGCTTTTTATTCGTGGGACCTCGGTACTTCGGCTCCCAATGGTGATCTTACAAGAGTCGTTTGGATGTTCTTGCACCAGATCTTCGGTCCTCTCCATGGAATTGTTGGGCTTGAAGGGTGTTAGCCTTTCAAAGGTTAAACATGGACGATAATCTTGCCAATATAACCCAAAGTTTTTGTAGAAATGATTCCAAAATTCTCTCACATGCTTAAAAAAAACTTGTATTTGCCAACTATAACTAATCAATCAAGCAAAGTTTTGCATGTTTTAGCTAACCGAAGCCAGTCTCAATCTTCCTTTCCATCAGGCTATATCTAGACTACTACATATCAAAAGCATCCGAAGGATTTTGGGATTACCACGTGTTCGATCTTTTGGGTTTAGTTTCTCACAATTTTTTTTTTCCTTTCTAAATAGGTTTGATTCGCTTTACTTTTTACGTTTACTTTTTGCTTCTTCTGGAATTTTCTTTGGTGGTTATTTCATTTTTTGATCAAACCTTTTTTCCCCGTTATCTTATCATACACCATGAGAGGAGGAAATGGGCAAAAATCTAAGATAGCTCGTGGTCATTGAAAATAAACCCAATTTATGTAAGGGGTTTATCTTGATTAACATGGATTTTCTCTGTTCTTGTCCGAATACATTCATAGGATTTGGGGTGCTTCCGAGATCAAAGCCCTCCATCATGTGATGAAAGAGATAAGATCTTGGAGTGCTCAGCCTAGAGTGCTCCTAAAAGAACAAAGATTGAACTCCATTTCTCTCAACCTATATTATCAATGGAGCTACATAAATCTTTAGGAAAGACATTTATGTCAACAAGAATTTTAGACTCTGGCTTCATTACAGATACAGAGAAGGAAAGTCCCAACATTGTTAAGCACTTGAAGGATCAGTTCTTCACCCTAAATGATACACGTAGTCGAGCAGTAACAAACTGCTCAAGTTTGCAGACACAACTCTCTTAAATGATGTAATCAAGCCGGATCCGTATACTGCAACTCGAAAATTAAAATTTGAAACTCGACTTGAATTCAATCGAGTTTTATTTATCTAATTCAAGCTTAATTTGAGATAAAATTTAAACCGAGCTCAAACTCGCTCGATAAAACTATTACCTAATAAAAATGGGTTCTTCATAGTTTACAGCATCTTTTTTCCTTTTCTTTAAGCTTTTTAACTCAATCCCTATGCCTGCAGAGCAAATAAGCTTTGACAATTAACTTTATCACAACAAATAATTTAAGTTTAGTGAATGTTTGAAGTTTGGGGCATACATCAAATTTGTTGAAGAAAAAGAGGAAAGAATTTTTTTTTTACCTGAATTCAACCGTAAACTGATGTTAATCGAAGGTAAAGTAGGCATGTGGATATAACCAGTTTAATTTACAAACAACTACGTTGAAATGAGGCATGAAGGAAGAGTGCTGAAAAGGAAAGGGGTAGCTGCTAGCATGAGATGGGAAAAGAGAGAACAGAGACAAAGAAAGTGAGAAAAAAAGAAGCAAATGAGACTGAGAGCAAAATTGTAAATTTTAATTAAAATAATAAAAATATATATTTAAATAAAAAATTTCAATTAAACTCACAACTCACTCTAATAAAATATTAAAATATTCAAACTTAACTCACTTACATTTTAACGTCTACTGATAGCATATCTGTAAAATCTCTAATGTTCTTTAGGGGTGGTGGTCCGGCACCCCCTCTCCTCCCAAGGGGGGAGTAAGTGTGCGTGATGGACCTCCCATTGCGTGCACCCCAGGCAACGTCCCTCGAGCAAAATACAGGACGTGCATGCCTTCCGATCATTTTTGTAGATAAATTAAATTATTTAAGTTTGAATTCGACTTAATAATAATTAAATCAAATTCGAATTTTATTTAAATTAAACCCGAATAACTTACAAGTACTAATATATCAATACACATCCTCTAAACTCTCAGCCATGAACAGCATGAGCAGTTAGCCTAGTTAACTTCCAATTAACAGATGCATGTTTTCACTATTTTTTTTTGTTTTAAATTCACAAATTGTCAATTCAATTTTGGCACACAAGGTAAAACAAAATGGCCATTTCACGAGCAAATATGTTCCAGAAGTTGGGTTATCTAATTTTGGGTGCATAAATACACAAGGATAAATGCTATATTTAGTTTAATGTTTACAGGCCATGAAATCCGTACTCTAATTCATTGCAAGTGAGTTGGTTGTTATTTCGATCCATCTCATCAAAGTTCTACCAAGGCATACATCAGACCGTCCGTGACTACAGTGGATTCCTATTTACATCCTTATACAGCAAATAACGTGTCCGGGTTTTGCCAAGAGCACCATACCTGAAATGGCAGTAAAATGTATCAATCTTCAAGCCCAGAATCAAATCTGCAGAAATTAATGGAAGAGAAAATTTTGACATCCTAGCAAAAAAGTTTTGAGAGGTTATGTTTCCCTCACCATTGTGGCACAAATGGTGCCATCCAAATTGCATCACCTGCTTGAACTGGATACCTATTAACAATAGAAAAAGAAGCAAAGATGTGAAAGTGGGCTTTATGGTTATGGCAGACACTTGTGCGAACAAAAATGATGAGAAAACGGGACAGATTGCCTTGGGAAAGCCTTGGTATGTTTCTTCAACGTATGTGCCTCCATTCAAGCACATGCCTTGGACGATATGAGGTCAATAAGAAGACAAGCAAGCAAACACCATTGTTTGCAAAGAACATATAACACTAAAAAGAAGAAAACTTTCTCATCTTACTCATGTCGATGTATACTGCAAAAAGTTGTCAAAAGCCTTTTTGAAAATTTTAATTTCTGTGATAGCTATGGATAGCTGGTATATAAAATGTGATGATAGTAAGATCTATCGGGTTCCTTTCAATAAAATCTTGGCACAATGGCTCATGGATAATTAAGACAATAGCTAGACAATTTGTAGTACACTTTAAAAAGGTTCCAATACTCAGTTATGACTCTTACCAGCTATCACCCAAGCGATAAATGCCCTGTCCCTCTAAAAGCAACAAACCATGTTGATTGTAATGGACCTCCTGCAAAGAGCAAAAAATGGAAAACTCATCTCAAAAGATACTCAACTATAAGTAGCCCCGGCTTAGTCATGGTCACAGAAGTATAGAGAAAATCATAAGTGGATCAAAATGGTAAATGGCCATACATATTTAAGCCTGAAAATGAGTCAATAAGTAGAATTACCACACCTTAGCCTAACTCAGAGTCTACATGTAAGATGTATTAGTCAAATTATTTTCATTTTTGCTTCTACTTTCTAGTAATTGTAATATACTTTCACATTGTCCGTTTGATTACTATGGGTTCTATGATGACATATACGTAACCAAATAAAATTTTAATACCAGCAATTATCAAATAATATAATAGTACTAATCAGCCAGAAACCAAAGCTTACCTTCACATTAAGGAATTCTCCTGGTTGAAAATCCATAATCTGCAGTTAAGGGTCCAGAGCCCAACATCAACCATACAGACAAAAGTTACAAGAAATTTATGGTCTTCATTTCAGTAAAGACGGTTTACTGAGACACATCATACTTAAGTAAACAAAAGCACCTGATTCTAAGGTTTACATTTATTAAGTAAGGTAATAATAACAAAATAGGATTTTCTAATGAGTTGGAAACAACTTTCAAGTGGTGAACCACTACAAGAAATTGAATAACAAAAATACTCCAAAACCAGGCCCCTTCTCCCTTCAGTGAGCCACAACCAATTAAGCCTAACTCATAATTTACAATCACCATTTATGCTGTAAAGTGCATCACCTTATGATGATGAAACTTCCTTCATCAAATGTTTTTGGATTTAAACAAGGAAGACCTAATACATGAAGGTTTATTATCATGTACACATTTTCAAATTCTCTTACTGAGTGATGTGACAAAAATTACATTCTAGTTTAGCACCAAATAAGGAAAGTTATATGAAGCATGAAACTGACTGCTAAATGAAAACACAATATTAAGGTATTGCATCATGCATCCTCTAGGTTATTACCATGAAGATTAATTGTCATTTTTTAGCCAACATGAAATTGTTTTTAATCCCAACTTATCATCCAAAGTTCCCAACAAAATCGACAAGACTTTAATTTAGTGCATCTTCTTCGGTATCAAACCCAACAAATTTTGGATTTTGACATTAACAGATAATATGGACAATAATTATAGACTAAACAAAGCTGAAAAGTGAAATTGTGAAGTGATAATTGCTTACATGGATATTAAAGTCATAAGGCATTGATGCTGGAAGAAGCTTCCTGAGTTCAAACACCTGTTGACAAGTAAAAAAGGTCATAGGCTCATAGCTATTATATAAGAGCAAATGTAAACATAGTCAACTAAGAATATCCTAAATAAGTCCAGAGATCATCATGTATATTAGTTCAGTATAGGCATCCTTTTTACATTTTTAATAGCAAAACAACTTCTTGATAAACATTTTTAACCTCAATATAATGCAGTAATTGAAACATTTTGCATATAGGAGAAATTTTGTTGTCTCCATATATCCAAATCTTGAACCTGGAATAAACTACCGACAGCTAGAAGAGCAAAGAAGAAGAGGGAGATCAATATTACCTCACCAGGAGTTTCAATAAGTGGCTGCTCATCTGTCGAACCAACGATCAGCTCAGTAATATGATTGCCCAGATAGGCATGTCTACAGGAGGGCAAGTAACACATACTAAGAGAATTAGATATTAATAATTTAGAATGTAGAACTAGCATCACCTTAATAGGATTTTAAACGTAATTAGTCCTACACCCAGTTACCTTGGTCTTCACAGTACATTAACAAGAGAAATTTAATAGATATCACACAACTTAAGAACTCAATACAGTAGCATAAAAAAGTACACGGAGAACTCATCAAGCACTCCATAAAAATTAAACAAAATTGCAACAAGAAAAATTAAACAAACTTAGGAAGGTAACTAGGTAAGATGGTGACCAATTCTTGAGTGATAATGTACCTTCGTTCAAATACTGCAAGAGTAGCGGAGCCATCGCACTTCAGAGAATGTTCAAAATTAGGAGGTAGATAAGCATATGAATCCACCTGCATGACAAAAAGAATGATATGTGTTCCCTTCTTTTAAAAAAAAAAAAATTGTTTGGTACTAAGGAAAACTAAAATGGACATGCTATTACCAAATGGATTTTTAATATTGTGAGAGAAAGCTAAGGCCACTATCATGTGGACAAAGTTTATGCCTCTACTGGTGCTGTTTTTATTAGTCCTATTACATATAGAACATGTTGGTTAGTAAATGTAAATGGAGCATCCTTTACCATCAATTTGTCGCTGATGCCAGATGAATTGGTGAGAGTGACAATGCCCTGAATCACAAATACAAACCTAAGAAAAAACATATAACAGGCATTAAAACTCAAAGCAAAACATTAATGGACATAGCGAAAGTTTATCTGAGTCATTTCAACTTCTGAAAAATTAACTAAAAAAACACATGGACAAATAAAAATTCCACACCTCTCCACATCATCAGGGGGAAGCCCTGACCTTGAGTTTTCTGCAAAGGATAAACAACAGAACATTCAATCATGCACTTTTGTTCCAATATAGTTGACTACACAAATAGGATCAGACCTTGCATTTTTGCTAGATACATCACAAAATGCGAACCCATAGCAGGTGAGATTAAATATGCTCCCAATGTATTTGTCCTGTCAAATAACTCAAACCAATATGCCAGATAACAAAATCAAACATTCTTACAAAACAAAAAAAAAAAAAAGGAAACGTAATAATTTTAAGTACCAATCAGGCAAAGGACTGAAAACATGACTTTCTGGTGATATCAAGGCATGGTCCCTTTTGTAAACACTACGAGTGAAACCGGGCAAGTCTGCAAAAACTCAAATTTAACTTCAAAGTAAGCATTTTTCCCAGATCATATTATCAATAGAAACTAAAAACAAGATAAACCGACCTTGGAGATGAGAAGGAGAGAGAGTTGGGTTAGTAGCTTTCCAATACAAAGGTTTGGAGGAAGCATCAGTTTGGTCCAATATGGAAGGAGCAGAACAGAATCCTCCATCACCCAAAACTGGAATAAACAAACCTGGGAAAGCAAAGAACAAAGAAAACAAAAAGAACCCGTTAAAGATCTGGATGATTGAAGATAATTGTAGAGAAGAAAGGAAAGAAAGAGAGTACCTATTAGAGTGAAGGAAGAAAGGAGGAGTTCAGAGACACAGGGATTCTGCATATCTTGGGGATGATTTTGATATTGTTTAGAGTCTCGAAAGGGTGGAGACCAGAGACCGGAGACCGGAGACTGAACTGACGGTGCGGTGTAACTGAAATTTTTTGAACTGAAATTCGGAAACCGACATATATATACAAGCTGAACCGGTGGGTTTCCCACTACCACTAGGATTTTGCCTTTTTTTTTTCCTTTTTATTCCGAAAATTTTCTACCGTATTTTCTTTTGCCCGTTGAAAAGGAAAAATCCATTAGGTTTTGGGCCCCTTCACCAAATATATTTTGTTGATTTATGAAAAAATTGAAAATAGAAAAGCCCATTTGATTTTAGGCCTCTTTATCCATAAAAACCTATCCAAACCCATATATAGAACACGTCTATGAAAATCTAAATCTAACGCAAGATTTAAAAAAGTAAAACTACAGAGTTTTGTTAACGACTATTTTAAGGATATAGATGTAATTTTATTTTTTCAAAGGTTTTTAATTTTTTAGATTTTGAGAGTTTTTTTAAAAGAGTAAAATGAATAAAGAAAACTGAAAGTGGAGAAAGAAATTGTACTTTATTAAAAAATATTTATGCAATTATTTATATAAATATTTAATTTTATATGAATTAAGAGTGTAAATGATATATTAATATTCATAAGCTACTCAAGTTTGACTTAAATAAAACTTGAATTTAGTTTTATTATTATCGAGTCAAACTCAAGTTTGAGTAGCTCAATTTATCGATTAAATCAAGTTTGAATATTTTTATACTCGACTCGAGTAGCTTATGAATTTAATCAAGCTTATATATTTTAATATATTTTTATTATTTTAATTAATAAAATATATTGAACTTAAACTCAAGTATAAATAATCGAGCTTTTATCGAATATAAGAATCGAGCTTATTTTTACATATTAATCAAGTTTAATTGAACAAACTTGAGTAACTTGATTTTTTATTTCAAATTAAGCTTGAGTTAAAAAAATAAAATTCGATCAAATTTTTTGATCGAATTCGAATCAAGTTTCGAGTTTCAAATTTCGAATCGAGCTCAAACTTAAACTTACTACTATATCACTTTGAATTTGATCAATTACACCCTAATCCGATTCAATTGATAAATATAAAAAATACACTTATATATTGAAAATTCGATTGTTTTATATATTTGTATTTTATTTTTATTTCTTTACATATTTTTTTATATTAATAATATTATTAAAAAAGTAAAAAAAAAAAAAAATCAACTTGAGCAGCTGAAATCAAGTTATTTTAATACATAAACTTTGACAAGTTTTACAACAAATGGCTTTGAAAAATATTCTTCAATCCCATATTTTATGGGATCTAAATTCATATTCTAACATTATAAATCTAGCATTTTAAGAGGTCAATTTGGAAAGGAGATGAGAGCAACAAGAAGATTTTATCAAAAAAAAAAAAACTTCCACTGCCTCTAACCACCATACAATGACGCCCCATATCATTCGCCTCAAACCACCAGAGCAACAAGCAAAAACCACACCCAAAGAACCATTCAACATTGAAACTATTTCAAGTCCCAAGTTTCTCTAATCCACTTAAGATCCTTAAACTTGCTCAAAACCTCAACTTCTGGATAAGTAATCACCCCATTGGGCCCAACAATGATGTCAAAAATTGATGTTTGAGATGTAACAGAGTCACTGCAAATAAAAAACTCACAAACGAGAAATTCACAAGAATTTGAATAATAACATAATATAATTATTAGATTAAAAGGGACAAAATTTAACCATCAAGACTAAAAACTAAGAGATACAAAAACACTACCCTAAAAATTTTAATCAATGATACAAATAATAAAAGTTCATCACTCTAAGAAATTCACCTAAGAAATACAAAACTTAAAGAACAATATGAAAAATTACTTAAAGATAAAAAAAACTCTATTCTGTCTTCTATCAAAGAATAATAGAAAATATATAGGTTAGGAACATTCTTCTAACATAGAAACTTTCAGATTACATTGATTGAATTACTAGAATTGTGCTTAAAATCAAGGGATTTGCATGTGAAGCCATTTACTCATGCATATTACATAATAATGAATTTGACCATAATCATATCCATATTCATTCTCTTTTTTTTTAGTTAATGTTAACACAATCTTTCTATTCTAATCAATCTTATTTTTACATTTATTTAGTAAATTTGGACCAAGAATAGGCTCATCTTATTTTTGGATAAGTCTTTTTTAGTCTCAGTCTAAGTCTAAGTTGTAAGATATCTTGACACTCCGATGTCAATATTCTCTGATTGAAAAAAATTTTTCTCAAGTTTAAATTAGTTTTTTTGCCATAGTAAGGGTAACAAATTAGCAACATTGAAAGTGAAAGATATTTCATAAGATTAGGAAGCTCTATCTTATAGGCATTCTCCTCAATACATTGGTGAATTCTAAATGGACTATCTGTCTTAGGTTGTAATTTGTCAAACTTTCCTAAAAAAAATCTCTCTTTTCGTAAGTTAATCTACACCAAATCATGTTCTTTAAACTTCACATGTCTTCGATGCATGATTATTACCTTTTATATTTCTTATTTTTTTACAAAATTTTATTTTGAACCTGTTCACAAAATATTTTGATACTTTTAGCTCTTTCTTCTATATCTTCATCAAAATGCTGATTAGTATAAAGTTGAATTAAAATCAAATGATAGATTACATTTCTTATCAAGAACAATTTCAAAAGGGCTGCAACCAATGATTTAACTTGGTGAATGGTTAGAAGTAAACTTCACTTATAGTAAAACAAGTTTTCATTGTTTTAGTTTCTATCATGTATAACTCCTCAAGAAAATGTTTGCCTTGTTGGGTAGAATAGCTTATGGGATAAGGTTTATGCAGTATTGAATGTCTCTCATTAGTGGTAAACCAGCTGATAACTTCTCTTGAATAACATCTTAAAATTCTGTCAATAATAATTGTATCACTGTAAGGGACTCCTCACTATCTTTATTCTCCTCAATCAACACCAGTGTATACATAATATCGTTTATCTTAATTTTTTTTTTTTTATAATTGACATTGGTAAACAAGTTACTTTCTTCCCTTTTGGTTGGTTTTGACATCACCATGAGCTTGGTAGAGCCTAGGATGATTTTGCATTTATCATTCACAAATGTGTAAGTATTGCGATAACCATCATAAATAACCCTCATATCATAATGTTAAGGTCTTTCGAGCAGTAAATGATAAGCATCTATTAGAGCTACATCATACCACACATCGTCTTTGTATTACTTTCATATGAAAAAAAGAATCAAACACCTTTTGTTAACCTTGATTTTATTCTCTTTCTGTAACCAAGATAACTTATATGGTTAGGGGTGATTATTGTCTTGAGGCCTAATTTTTGCATTATAAAGGTAGAAATAATATTTTCAAAACTTTCACTATCAATTATAACATCATATACCTTCATATGGGTAGTACACCGAATGTGAAACATGTTTTTACGTAGCCAATCTTTTTCCTTAGTAGGTGCGATACTAAAGTTACATTGTATGACTAAGGATGCTCCATAATCACCATAAGTTACATTTTCCTCATTTTCAACCAACTCTTTTTCATTTTTCTCCAAGTCTTCCTCTTTTAGAGCCATAATTTTCCTATTTGGGCATTCTGAGGTAATGTGTCTAAGCCTTTGACATTTAAAACACCTTATGGGTTGTGCACTAGACTAAGGTTTGCTTGTTAAGGTTTTATCTTTCTTTTGAGGCTGCTTTAGAATAGGCTTACAAGGAACAATAGTATTGGATGAGCCACTTTTATTGATATAGTCGTCTCGAGACCCAAATATCAAGTTATTACCACGAGCCTCTTTTTGTTATCTCTTTACCTTAATGGGTAAGTTTACATACATCATTGAAAGTCTAATAAGGTTGTATATGTACTATATTAGCTATCTCAATCTTTAATCCTCTAAAATATCGAGCATTAGTCTGCTCTTCTTGTTTCACCAATTCATATTTTAATATGAGGTGATCAAACTCAATCATATACTCTTTCACTGAGAGATCTCTTTACTTCAAGTTATGAAGCCTAATAAAGATATCTTGTCGAAAGTTATTTAAGAGATACTTTTTCTTCAACTCTTTTTTTATCTTTTCCTAAGTTGTAATTTTTTCTGCCTTTTTTTTTCTTTTTTTTTTAGATTTTTTCAGTAAAACAATGTATGCTTTCTGAGTTTGATGGCCACTAGCTTCACATTACTATATTCAGAGGCATCATGATATTCAAATATACGTTTTATCACATGTAGCTACCTTCAGGTTGCATCTTCCCTTCGAACTCAAGAATCTCTATCTTCGAATTGAATATGCTAGATTGAAATTGGTTTCTGTGTAGATAGTCTCTAACTTACCGTTGGCGAGATAAGGTGATATCATCATAATCACTTTTGTTTTTATAATATGGATTGATTTCTCTTTCATCTTATTCGTTCTTCATTATCTCTTCTTTTTCTTTTTGTATATGCAGCTGATATTGTAGTTGAAGGATCTGTTACTACATCTTCTCTATGAAGGCATCATTTGGGTCAACATTGGTCATTGCTACAACGTCAGTGTTAGCTTCAACTTCTTCTGATGGTGCTTGATAACGATGATCTACCATAACTCTAATACCAATTTGATGCCAGAAATTAATGTTTAAGATGTGGCAGAGTCATTACAAACAGAAAAACTCACAAAAAAGATAATTTACAAGAATTTGAATAATAATAAAATATAATTATTTGATTAAAAGGGATAAAAGTTTACTACCAAGACTAAAAATTAAGGAATACAGAAACACCACCTTAAGAATTTTAATTAAGGATATAAAATAATAAACATTCACTACTCTAAAAAATTCACCTAAGAGATACAAAACTTGAAGAATAATTTGAAAGATTACTTAAAGATAAAAAAAAACTCTATTTTATTTTCTACCAAAGAATAAAAAATATATATATAAACTAGGAACATCCCTTTAAGCATTGAAACTTTCATATTACATTAACTGCATTGCTAGAATTATGCTTAAAATCAAAGAATTTGCATTTGAACCCATTTACTCATACAGATTACATAATAATGAATCTGACCATAATTCTATCCATATTTATGCTTTTCTTTTTAGCTAGTATGAACATAATCTTTCTATTCTAGCCTATCTTATTTCTACATTTA